GTGTTGGAGGTTTTGTAAGAGATCCAGCGCTATAGATGGAGTTCCACGATTGACTAGACATTTTGTTTAAGGATTTTGAGAAGAAAAATTGACTTGAAAGTGATAGACGGGATGTAACTGATTTCCAGAATGCTAAAAGCAAACGTTTTTAAATGGATCAAAAATAAGAATGAAATTCCTTTTTAAAAAAGAATAATCAGAAATTAAGAGAGGTATCCTGATGGATATCGATTGACTAATCAATGAATTTGATAACCTGGCTTTGATACCAATTGTTGGAACCCATATACTCTTAATTTTTAGAAAACACAGGTTATGAAGAATATGAATGAAATAAGAACAGTGTACTGAATTGATCAAACGAAATATTCAACAAAAATATGAACACTACAAGACTTTGAATAAGTCGGATGCTTTTATTAGATGAAAATAAAATTCTCGATCTAAAACGTATTCTCACAAGAATTGGCTATGATCTAAGTCGGCACTCTCAGGTTATTTGAACCTGAGGAGGATGCCTCCTTATATACGCCTAAGTCAAACAAACTATGTTATAATTATGGCTTGAAACTCTTATCGCTGAATCCACATCCTTATCATTGACTACCCTTGAAAAGTGGAGCGGACTAAGTCAAGCCGCCTTGAATCTGTTTGACGCTTGCGAGAATGTTTGGACTAAGCGCGCATTCCATGGAGTTAGGAGACCAGAGGCTCTACATTTACTATACAGAGGCTCTGCATGTATTATGCAGAAGCTCTGCATATACAGAGGCTCTGCATGTACTATGCAGAAGCTCTGTGTCTGGTGTGCAGCTTTGCATCAAGCACTTAAGCTTTTTGGCGCTTAAGGCTTGATCATCCAAGGAGATTGAGCGCAGGCTCTGTATGTGAGATCCTTGACTCTTTGAGTAAGAGGTCTGGGTCTTGACTTCTTCTGCATGAGAGCTCTTAGTCCAGACTGCTTCTAAAGACTAAGTCCTATGGAGTAGAGTAAGAGGCTTCTTACTTACACTTTCACAAGATGGGGTCTAACAGAATTTAAAGTTGGCCAAACACAACAAGAGATGGAGCGAAGCAAATCTTAACAAGAGGATCAGCCCTCACCCGATCAAGAGCGCCAGCATCAGTGGACGAACAAAAGACGGTGGGTTGCTGCTCTCCATGCTCATCACCAGGGATAATCTTGAGGCAGTCACCGAGTATCCTTCCTACCTTGGCGAATATGGTTATAGCGAATGATTGGACATTCGACAAGCCACTCAGTGCTCAAAGTCCAGACATAAGCCGATTATCGAAAACATCATCAGCGAACTGATCAAGAAGGTGTCCAGGTATGTCGCAGTCCCTGAAAGGCCTACGCTGAAGAAAGGTGGAAGAAGAAAAAGGCCTTCAAGCCCTAATGATGGACCATCCCTGAGGAAAGAACATGAAACAAAGTTCTCCTTAGATGAAGTCCTAAAGGCTTCGAAGAAGCCAGATATTTCTATGTTGAACATATCACTGCCAGTGAAGGGTCCCTACATACCCAACACTATGCATATGAAGCCTGAGTTAGGATTTATTTTCCTTGACTATGAAGGTGAAGTCTGCCTCCAAAGAATATTTGAGTTGCATCTATGTCCAATGGAACATCTTGCATACATCCGATATTGGCTGAACGATGACATATATGTTGAAGCGATGGACACCAGGATCAGAAAGGAATTTTGACGTCGAAAGGAGCTCGGAGAAGATGTACCTGACTACATTAATCTGAAAAACTTAGAGTAGTTATTTTTTTGTATTTCGCTCATTCACTGTATAAACCTACATTCTATGTCTACTTTCAGTGATTAATCTTATATTTTGTAAGTTTTAGACATGTACTGAAGACTTGTAATATTTCCATTTGAAATTAATATAAGTATTTTTGTGCATCACTGAAAAAGATCCCTGAAAAGAGTAATAGAGACACAAGTCTATGAGTTGCAGTGTTACTCTTACATTCACTGACAATCTATAAGTCAGTGAACATGCTTTCAGTTTCAGTTTCCCTTCTTGTACCTTTTCTTAATCTTGTAACTTAAGAAAATTTACTAAGTAAAGACTGACTTACTGAAAAAGATCCCAAAACAGTTAAAAGGGGCATGTACTTTATATGTAACTTTTCCTTACTATTATTTGATAAAGCAACTTTCTTTATGTCGCTTTGTTATCATCAAATAGGGGGAGATTGTTGATCCTCTCTATCAGTGATTTGATGATAATCACTTTTACCTTATATGAAATATTTATGTTTATGTCTTTCAGTTCCATCGATCATCACTGAGTCTGTTTAGTGATCGCTGAGAACATGTAATGTAAATCCATCAGCGACAGCGACATTTCAAGAAGACAAAACTCACACCAAAGAACTTTCAACAAATGTCGAAGACTGAAGCTGAAGATTAGAGACTGGCGAGTTCGTGATCTAAAGCGGCATTCAGTGATTACAACCTGGTCTACATATGTGTGAAGACTGCTCAAGCCTCAGCGAATGCTGAAGAGACCTTCAGGTTATTTCAACATTCAGTGATCAAAAGAAGCTTGTAGAGCACGATTGTTTTTGTCTTGTCCTTCCACACACAAAGGACAAACCCATACCCTTTCTAGAGCATAGTACGATACAAAGCTGATTAGTTGACTCTACTACCCACTAACTACATGAAAGGATTTCTACTCATAAATAGGCTTTTGTACTATTCACTGTAGCAAAAGACAAGTCTTTCTCTAAAGGCTTGACGCGTGTTCAACCACTACTACATTGCATTAAATGTGCATTTAATGCAATGGGTATAAATAGATGTGTTTTATCTCCATGCAGAGATACTTTTGAACACTAACGTTTACGTTCATACGTGAAAGAACACATATCTAAAGTAAACAATACACTTATCTTCTAAAAGCAAGTTAGAATCCCTTTTAAGTATTTTAAATAGTTTTTACCCAGAAAGAACTTACTTTCTTCTAAGTCTTAAACAGCAAATCATTTTTCTTTGCTAAGAACTTGTGTGTAACTTAGATTGTTTCATAGGTTATCTTTTTCGCAAACAATCTTGTAAAATCTGTATTGATCTTTCTTTATCAATATATATTTTAAATTTGAAAAGTTTATTGTGTTTGTATTCATCCCCCTTCTACAAACTGTTATACACATCTTGTAGACCCTAACCGGACCAACAACTTATATAATATCATGCAAAATGGCTGAAGTCCCCTCGTGTGATTAACGGCCCTGACTGTTAGGGACCTAAACCATAATGGAATCAAAATCAAAGGGGAACTGGTTGAACGAGTGACGAAGATCAGAATCTTGCCAAACCATTGTGACAAAAATGTGATATACTCAGTAAGCATTTTTGAGTGTTTGGATAAACAAATCATAAATCAGAATTTTGAACAAACCAAGATCATCAATAATCCACTCATATTGATAAATTTTATTACATTAAAAAAATAAATGTGCCTCACCAAATATGCAATGGCCTATGATTACATCAACAAATATGATAGTGACATGCAAAATCCCCCACAAAGGTTGTTATACATGTGTTCTCGGAGGCCCCCTATATCAACACCAAATCGCAGGGGGGGGTGTATAACTACATATAGTTGATGTTTAAAAACATAAACATCAAAATTTAAGAAATGGTTTGATCCAATTTTAACATCATTAAAAGTAGAGAAAAAATTACTTGTGAGTCATCCAATTGGCCAAAGCAACTACTCTTCCTCATCCCAAGCTTCTAGTAGGTAGATCATCGTTCTTGGACATTGTTGTATGAACAATTGCATCTGAGCCTTCATTTCAACAGCTTGTACTTCTTCTCAAAGTCCCTCTTTTTGTCATCGGCCTTCCTTAATAATCTTACAAATCTTATATGTTTAAGTCATTTCTAATTTTTCCCACAATCCGTTGTATGGTCTTTCTCAAGTCTACGTTGTGCCCAACCGCCCTAATATGACCTAGGTACTCAAATCCTAGCACCAATTTTTGATGGTCCTTTCTTGGTTCATAAACACATCATATCCTAATTTTTTTCTTTCAATAAATTACAATAGAACGTTAAATATATTCTATTAAAATCTATAATCCTCACAAACCCTACAACAATACTAAAAAGTAATATTGAAAAAACACCATTATGGTTTTAAATCAATTGTTAGAAAATTTAAGATGAGGATCATGTCATTATGTAAAAAAGGCACAAATTTTATTTCTTTAAATCCTAAATACCATATAGTTGTGACGTCATTTATACAATTAAATTAATACATAATTGCAGCCATTCATGAATGGAAGTGCAACAACAATCCTATTTAATGTGTTGAACAAAAACCTTAGGTCAATTTCGTTTGCTTGGTTTGTATTTGAAATCGAATTTCATTCTATTATTTTGTTTGTTTTTTTAGGATTTCATAAGAGTGTTGTTTGATTGATTTGAGCTTGAGCTTTAAAGATCAAAAATATCTGGAGATCTCAGGTTCAAATCCAAGGAGAAATAAAAATCATCTTGTAAACACGGAGGTTAAAATGAGATTAAAATGCGGTTAAAAATCCAAGGAGGTTAAAATAATTAAATTGTCTTGAGATTAGTCAGCTCGCATGACGAGTTTGGATACCCGGGTTAATAAAAAAAATTCAAAATTTCAATAAAGTTATACATAGGATTTTGAAAACCCTTGTTGGTATTTTAAGGAATTTCATAATATTTATATGTAACAATGTTTTAAAATATATTAAAAATATTTATTTTATTATAATTATTTAAGAAAGATAATTTAATTATTTTATAATTATTTATAATTTATTTTTATAAATTATTTATGATTTATTTTTATAAATTATTTATAACGAATAGAATTCAAGTTCATAACCTTTTTTGAATTCTCTATCTATGACCAAATATATGCAAAAGAGTTTAATTGAATAAATTAAATATAAAATCAATTTAAATCCAAAAGAGTTTGACCCTAAAAAGTCAAAATGAATTCATCTCTAGTGTATAAGACTTTTTCCTGTCAATCAACTTCCTCACGGCTTCCCCCATGCACTTCTCCTCAAATGCACCCATTGCTAAGCTTACGTCATCATCTTTCTCCATCGCCGTCACCGCCGGCCTAATCACCGCCAGGGTCGCCCCTTTCATCACGCAACCAGATTCCGGCAACTCCAACACCGGCACGTACCACATCTTTATCGTCACTGCTGGAACTTCCGTTCTCTCCGGTTCAACAACCGCCGTGGAATTCATCTCTTTCCTTAGCTCCACCACCTGCCTCTCCGTCATCTCAATCGTCCCTTGCTTACTTCCATCGCTGATCTTCACATCTCGTATCATCCGATTCAACGCAATGATCTGCTTCAACATATGGTGCCTTGCAGAAGAAGCAATCAAACACGAGATCGTCCACACAACTCGTTTCTTTAGTTGCTTGTTCGTCAAGTTTGCCGGCATCGATGCGGGGAATGGCGAGATCTCGCCGTCTTTACCGCTTTCCTTCTCTTGGTTCTTCACTTTCTGTTCCGATTTCCGAAACCCCGTGGCTCCCAAAATCACGCAGCTCTCGAGCTCTTTCCCGAACTCCGCCTTCCACTTCAACAAAGCACCTGAACCGTTTTCCGATGAGACATCTCCGTCAAGACCTGGAAGTTTCACGGCGAGAGACCGGATTTCCTTAAAGTTGTTAAGCAGTTCATTAGGCAATCTAAACGAGTTGTCTTCCTCGTCGTCGGAACAGTGTGAACAGGATTTGGATTTCCTAGAAACCATACGATGAAATAAAGCATGAATCGGCTTCAAGATGAATCTACCAACAAATCCTTTTGATTTGTTCATATGCAAACCTGAGTCCCCCCTCGGAAACTCCGGCAGCTTATTCCGGCGAGCAATTTCGAGAGAAACGTTGTGAGTCTGGGTAACAAGATCTCCGAAACGTTTACAGAGAATCGTACAAGCAGATAGCGATCTGGCATCTTGTACTCTATTGAAGATTTCAAGAACCAAAGCATCTGGTAACAGATCGAAAACATCTACTTGCGGTTGTTCTGAATCTTCTTCGAGACCCATTAATTTTGTGATGAAGGTTTAATTCAACGAGGATGAAATTAGGTTTTGTTGAATTGAATATGAAGGTTTAAATGTAGAGACGAAGATGGAGTTGATTTTATACATGGTGTGGAGATAAGGGAGGGTTGAGGAAGGTTCGTTCGCCGGCAGACCGGCGCACACGTTTTCAAGGCGGGTCAATTTTTACGACTTTGAATAATATATAAGGCCATGATATAATCATCCCTGAATTTTGTGGATACTCTGATTTTCTCCCCTCGACTTTAATAATTACAACAATAACCCTTTGGTTTAGATTTATATTATGTTTTTGGTCGCTCATCATAATGGTCATTAGAGGATTCCATTAAGTGACATTGTTATGGGTTTTTTAATACAAAGATAGTGGAAAACTCATTTAAGCATTTCCAGGAAAACTAAAGTATCGTTTATCAAATCCTTATGGTGCAAGTGTTTATTGAGTCACTTAGTTTGTCAGGTGAATATGGCTTGAACCAATAATCTTATCCGGTAAGAGACATGACAACAACTGCGTGAGGTTCTTATTTCGTAAGTGAGGGAGAAGACTTTTACCCAGTTAGCTTACTTGGTATACGAGACTTACAAACAATCCGTTTTGATGGTCGAGAATATCATCCGACATGGTGAGTAAGGTGGTGACTATTGACATTAAGCATTTGATAAACGGTCCTAAAATCCTAAATTAACTTCCTCCGACTAGTACCTCACCTTCACTGGCACTACCTCACCTTTACTAGTAAATCAAGCCTTTTTTAAGTACCTCCTCCACCATGGCACCACATACTTTTTTTCCACCATCTTCATTATTCCCCCTCTTTTCAGCATGAGAATATCAGGGAGAGTGTGGATATATATAGGCAAAATATCGTGTCAGAAAAAAAGTTATGATGAAAATATAAGAAGGGATTTCCATTCTTGATTACTTTTAATCTCATGCACACCCATCAATTGCGCTTTAGAAAGGAGTTGATCCGGTGTATCTCGGTGCATCTCACTAGTGTTGATCTTCAATTATGATTGATCCAAGAATAAAAATGCTTTCTTACCCTTCTAACCAAAACCCAACTCTCTCTATCTCTCTCTCATCAAAGACCTTCCAGCCTAGTGGTAAAGACTTGGGCATGGCATAGTCATGAACCCTAATTCGAGCCCTGGGAGGGGAGTGTTGGCGACATTTAAATGGGGCCATGCTTAGCCTCCAAAATTGTCGGGGATTAGTCGGGTTTTGGCCCGGACACCCTTACAAAAAAAAATCTCTCTATCTCTCTCTCTCTCTCTCTCTCTTATATATATATATATATATAAGAGAGAGAAACGATCATAAAGAGTGAGATGATGCAAAGAGTAGAAAGGAGGGGCTATTGTCATGAAATTCATTTTAGGACTTGGATTTCTCCATGTAAAACCTATTTTTGAATCTTAGAGAGCGAGAGGGGATAGATGAAAGCCTACGACATAGGAAAGAATGGATGGAAGTCAGAAAGTGTCGAAAAAATAAAGAGAAAAGGGTAGAAGCTTTAGTTGAGGAAGAAGATGCTTGTACATAGACATGGTCAAGTAGGAGGGCAGTTTTTAGGATTTATTTAGATTTTTATTCTTAAGTGCTTGTACATACACATTATATAGTTGTATCCTAGAGAGAAAGAATTAATAAAAACCATGAAAATGACTTAAATACCCTCACAATGACTAGCAAATGAAAGCATTTAACGATAATAGTTAACGGATCTATTAACCCAGGACTAAAACGATAATGAAATGTAAATCAAAGGGTTGCAAATGTTATTATAGAAGCCAGTAACAGAAACTCCAAACCACCAGCACCATTTTTGTAAGTTACTGTCGTATTTATTTCATTTGACCCCCTTCCTACCTCTTTCTACCATCGCTGGTTAGACCAACTTTACAACAATTTTTAAAGATTATCCACGAGATCATATTTAAATTAAGATTGGGTTTATTTTACATTTTTATATTTAAAATTTTAAAAAAATGTTAGGAAGGTAACAAAAATTTAAACCTTTATAGCAAAAACATTGTGAAGGTTACCTTCACAGTATTTTATTGTGAAGTTTTAAGTACAAAAAAATGGTCTCATGAAACTCACGAAAACTTTAATCTCACATATTCCAAGTCTATGTGTGTGTATATGAGTGAGTTCAAATAAGAACTCATTTTCTATTTTGAACATGAGGACAAATCTTGACAATTGATCAAAATTTAGAAAACTAATCAATGATTAAAACATAAAAAAGTTAATTAAAAAGTGATTAGAGGCAAAAATGAAAGTTAGGATTTACGCTCTATCAAGCTTGACTTTTTATTTTCTTTTTTAATTAAAAAACTTGTACCCCCTTCATTTTTAAACTAAATTATCTAAAAAATAACTAATGCTTTAATCAAACAAATTATATTAAAAAATTAAGAATTTCGTCATTCTTTTCGAGTTAACATCTATCTCGATATAGTTTATTTTATATTTTTAACATTTATTTTACATCAAATAGTATATATGTGTAATATTCACTATGAATATTTAGGCATGTTCATATGTTAACAACTCTTTAATATTCATACAGTAGTATGATGTTCATTATAAATATCCAACTTACTGTAACATTCATCATGAATTAGTTATGTATTTTCACGTGTATTCAATAAATCTTTAGTATTCATACATCATTATGACATTCATCATCAATATACATTTTTGTTATAACATCCATCATGAATTAGTTATATATTTTCACTTGTATTCAACAAATCTTCAGTATTCACACATCACTATAACATTCATCATCAATATACATCTTCGTTATAACATTCATCATGAATATAAATAGTATTCATCATGAATATACGTTTTCTTTATAACATTCATCATAAATATAAATTGTATTCATCATGAATATACGTTTAATTATAACATTCATCATGAACATATATATGTTAACGTGTATACAATAACTCTTAGTTATACATCAATATAATAAATATTAATCATTATGAATATTTATATATGTTCATGTGTATATAACCAAAAAAAATTCAATATTCATAAACTAGTATGATATCCGTGATGAATATACATTTTCACTGTAACATTCATCATGAATATTTTTGTATGATCACGTGTATACAATAACCTCCACTACTTATATTAGTACGAGATTTATCATAAATATTAATTTTCATCATAATAATCATCATGCATACACATATTATTCATCATGAACATACTACAGTTTCAACTCTACATACTTTAGTTTTTCTTTCTTTTTCTTTATTGGGTTCTCGATTGATTTGGACAAGTTTCTGATTCGTCTCAATACATTTCCCGATCCATCTCGATAAAAGTTAAAAGTGGTACATTATGTTTTTACACAAACAAACACACACCAATATAATGGATGGATTCTTGATTAGTCTCGTTTGGTGTCGATCAGCCCCAATGGATTGTCGATCGATCTCGATGTGTTCTTGATTGGTCTCGATGGGTTTCGGATCCTTCTTGATAAAAGATGAAAGTGATAATCTATGGTCTTACACACAAAAAAATAATACAGGAATTGATAGGTTCTCGATGGAAAATGAAAGTGGGTGGTTATGGTTTAATACATATAAACACATACTAAGTCAATGGATGGATTCTCGACCATTCTCGATCGGTTTTGATCAATTCTCGACCGGCCTCGATAAGTTCACGCTCAGTCTCGATGGTTGTTGGGTTACGTGATGAAGAAAGTGGTACCTTACGTACGACATTGAAAAAAGTGTTAAGAAGGTGATGTCGAGTTACGAACTTACGGTGTCGAGTTGTTTTACTCACTTGAACGTATTTAAATATTCATAATGAATATAACACATATATACCATTTCACATAAAAAAAGGGTAAAACGAAGAAAAAAAATTATATCAAGATCGATGTCATATAAAAAAACATGAAATTCTCATTTTTTGATGTAATCTGTATGATTAAAATATTATTAATTTTTTAGATAATTTGTTTCAAACTTTTGAGGTAAAAACTTTTTAATCAAAAAAGGTAAACATGGATTGACATTAAATGTCTTTTTTTACCCCTAATCGTGCTTTAATTAGTAATTTTAATTAAAAAATATATTTAATATGAATTGTTGGATCAAATAAAATGGAGTGCCATGATCAGTCATCACATTTACAATGAAAATTGAGTTTGCATTTTAACTTTCCTCTATATGTGTGTGTGTATAGGGTTATGATTGCTTCTTTACTTCTCAAATATTTATCATTTCTTAAAATAACATTTGACTATATATATATATATATATATATATATATATA